TGCGAAACGCGAAAAAGTACGCTTTCTGTTCTAGTGAATACACCTAGCGAATATTAGCGAAGTTCTCAATAAAAACATCATGGACAAGTCTTCAAATATCACGGACTGACAAGTCTTCACATACATTGATTTCTGGAAAAATGGATCTCTGAAATCAAAACTGACGACGAATCAGATTGTTTTCTGAGCAAGCACAAAAATTTTGTAGTTTTGAATGAACCTCGGGGGTTCTAGAATATACTTCAAAGTAAACTCGGTCAAGAAAAACTCGGCTTCTTGAATTTATGTAGCAACAAGTAAACTAACCAAGGTAACGTAAGTGAAAATTGGCGTTATACACCAATTCCCGAATGCAACCAGTAAATTTCTTGCCCTTCAGTCAGGCAATGGTTCGGTTTTCTCAAATAGCATAAAACTGATAAAACTTGAAAAAGCTTTCTACAAGAAATGCGAAGCCGCGAGAATTTCCTCCACAACTATTAGAATTTAGTGTCTATGTATTGCGAGGAGCGGGTGCGGGAGGGAGGGGAACGGGGAAGAGCTAGTGCTGCCTACAGTTATTCCCCTATTTTCACAAGGATAAAAAACTAGATGAACAGCCAGATCAACTAGAAAAACGATAAAGCGAAATACGCTCCCGAGAATCAACCGAAAATCAATACAAAAAAGACGAAGTGAATGATGTGCTGGTTGGCGCCCTTTTGTCCTCCTGACGGTGGAGCGCATTTGCTCACGGTGAGGAGCCGTCGAACGGGAATGTGAAAAGTTTAGGAGTTTTTTTTGTTTAATTTCAGGTAGTCCGGAAGATATCGGCGGATTTGGATCGACGTGGCTCCTCCTTCCTAACGAGTGCTCATTTGTTCTCAAACACTTCGGAATGAATAAGTTATTAGGCAAAAAATAAAATTGCAAGAGAATTTTTACACTCCTCTTTCTAGGGCTATAACTTCCTTCATATTCGAGCTTCTGCGCCGAAGTGATTTGATTTGGAAAATTCAAATTATTCTCTCTCCAACCATGGTAAAATTCTTCGAAAGTTAATTTAATAAAAATTTAGTACGTTGTTACTTTTTTCTGTGCAAAGGCGACTTTTTGACCTTCAAACGATCATAACTTCCTTCAAAGTCATTCATTTGGGAAGCTGAACACGTATAATAAACTACAGGATTCAAGCTTTCTAAGGAGCACCCAAACGTTTTTGAAAAGTCAGCACTTCAATAC